CAGATAAATAAAACCTGAAAGAATTTACCAGCATCAGACCAGATCTCCAAGAAGTTCTCAAGGGAGTGCTATGTCAGAAAAATTAAATGCAGACACACAGAAATAAGAGTTCAAAAACTAAGAAAATGGCCAACTTAATCTTGGAAACATGGCTGGAGTTGAATATTATATCCCAGAATTCAGTTGGGAAGATCAAACCACCACAGAAGATGGATGAATATATGAGACTGAACTGGTGAACTAGCATTCTGTGACTTTTGACTAAAATATTGGTGCTTTTCTTCTAAGCTTTGTTGTCCGGTTTTGAGAGTTTTTGTCCTGTCTTGAGTTGTCAATAGGTTCATGTACTTACTATTTGAACAGAATACTAACCTGTTTCCAGGCTTTAAGTTTTAAGGAAATTTCCTTACCAATTCAAAACTGCTTTTCTTGAAATTACCAGCTGAACTTGCTATTGAAAGTAGTTAGATTATTTAAGAAATTGTGTGATCAATAAAATGTGGGAGGAAAAAGAATGGAAGACAACTGTAGATACCAGAGATAGTGTGAAAAGAGGGTGAGAAAGGGCAGAGGGTCAGACATGGGGATAAATATATATACATACATACATACACATATATATGTATGTATGTATATATATATATTGCACACACAAAGCCACTATACAGTATATTCTGGATGGGAAACCACATTTTGTATGCTGTGACGATGCTTAGGCGATGAATGTAAATTAATTAATTTTAAAAAAGTTTCAGGAGAAAACAAACATGAAAACTGTCTTTCTTTAAATTAAAAACAATGCGTATTTGATGACTCCAGTAAGCAATATATCCCCAGCTAGGTGCTACTTTATAGTATGTTCATTCTACTCACTGAGGTTTATGCCTAAAGTCAGACTTGTGTTCATGGATATGTATATATCAACTGCACTTGCTATTGGAAATATTTAGATTAAGTTCATTAGCAAATCAATAAAATGGGGGGGAAAGGCATAGAAAGCAACCATGGATACCAGAGACAGTGTGGGAGGAGGGTGGGGCACAGCGGTGGGTCACAGCAGAGAATGAGAGATAGGGAATCAAGGATGGAAAAAAAAAAAAGGCAAAATTTACAGGAAACAAGAAATGGAAAATTATTTGTTGACAATAACACGTATGTTGATGTGCTTGATTGAGCCAATGTACAGTGTATTCTGGATTGGAAATCTCATTTTGTATGTTGTAATGATGTAAATGACTGTAAATAAATAAATTTAAATTTAAAATATTTAGACTTAGTTGGCCTTAGGTTCTACAATTTTATTTTTTATATCAATTTGATAATGGGATGTTCTTATTACCTGAAAGAATACCAAATTATTTCTGTATTTTTTTGGATCCTCACTCAACCATATTTTCCAGTACCACGATTTCTGATAGATACATGCAAATACATGTGCGCTGCTTTAAAAATATAATTGCTCGATAATTTATATTTATTAGTTACTTAATAGATTCCTGAGGTCACTGTCTGGATTTTAAATCATTGAACCTAGTTCCTTAGAATAAATGCAAAAATAAACTGAGTAGGATTATTTTTAAGAGAACCAAGTCTGCTAAATTTGATTTTTTTTTTAAATAAAAAACAATTTAAAAGACTGCCTTTATTTATTTATTTATCTTAGGTTTTTGCCATTGGGCACGTGTGTTCACCAGAGAGAGACAGAAAAGGAAAGTGAGAAATCACCACCAGAGGAGGGTGGCCTTGCCGCAATCCCTTCTCCTCCATTTCCCTCCTGGGATTTTGGGCATGCACACATTCCCAGCATGATTTTCAAGCCACCAGGTCCAGGACTGAAATTGCGGTTGCCCATGTGGGAGTCCAGGGCCTTAACAACTATGCTACCTGTTGTCCACAAAATGTTGATTTTTAAGGAAGAAAGCTAATAGGATTTGAGTGTGCTCACAGAATCTTGTTAAATCATTTATAGATATGAATTGGCCAAGGGATGTTTATATAATAGAAAATTGCAAGTTAATATAAACTTTGACAGAGTAGTAGAATGAATTATATACTCATTATCCAGCTTCAACAGTTACAATATTTTGAGTCTAGGATAGTATTGTCTTTGAATCAACACTGACCTGCTAAATTCTTTGAGATTTGATGTAGGTTTCTTTGCTTACATAAAGAGAATTTAAATTTATTCTTTAATCCACAGAATGAGCATAAGGATTACTTTGTATGCGGCGTCAAGTTACCCAATTCTGAGGACTTCCAAGGTATTTTATTTTATTTTACTTCTTGACACTTGGTGTGTGTAATATATAGGAATGGGTTATCTTAGAATGTTGGTTATAGCACTTTGTCTAGAAGGATATTGGACTTCCTGTCCCTTCTCAGTTGCAAGTGTGTAGAGTCAGATTCCCTGATAGGAGACATAACAAAATATTTTATCTAATCGTGGAAAAATAGTTATTTTACCTTATATTTGAAATTTAAGAGAAAATAATTTAAAAGAAAGTAATGTGCAAGTGGGTGCAAATCAGGCAGTAGGATTCTTAAGAATATTAACAGTCTCCCCTTTTGGTTTGATTTTCATAAAAAGGTTATGTGTGTCTGGAAGCAGAAGGTGAGCAAACATTAATCTGCTCTATTGTTATTTAAAAAGTTGTATTCCTGGGTGTGATGGATCCCACATGGTCAATTGTCTTGTTTGAGTCCCAGACCCAGCAGCTTGAAAAACACCCTGGGCACATGTGATGGCATTCCCAAAATCCCAAGAAGAGAATGGAAGAGAAGGGATACGGGGGGCTGGGGGGTGGTGATATTGCACTTTCCCTCTCTATCTTTCTTGTCTCTGGCAAGCATAGGCACCCACACCCTATAGCAAAAAAAAAAAAAAAAAGAAAAAAAAGTTGTATTATATTAAAGGTATTAGAGAATGTGAGTCATCTCTTTTACCAATATGCCAAAGAGTCTTGCCAAGGAGATTATTTTTACTGTTATTTTTTTACTGTTAGTAGAGCAGGTTCTTTTCTGTTAGCCTAAACAATGCTTTGAGACCTATTAATATATCTTTACAGGTTTTCTCAAAGCTAGCACGTTATCTATCAGGTTGCCAGAAATGTATGATACATTTTTGCCGAGAAAAACGTAGAAAAATATACATCATGACTTTTCCAACTACCCAATATTTGGGAAGAAGTTATTTTAGAAAAGAGCATTACTTTTCTGTTTCTCTGTAAATAAACTATTTATTTGTGGTCTTTGAACATTTCAGAGTATTTTAATTAGTCACCCACATTGGCCTTTACAACAAATAAGTAGTGGGGACATGCCATAACAGGAATGATAAGCTAGATGTTAGAAAACCTGTGTTCGAATCCTACATTCTCCTCTGTAAACTGTGCACTTCGGAGCAAGTCTGGAGCCTTTGACTTGATTTCCTAACCAATAGTTGGAACATACTGGTTTATGCCCTTCCCGTCTTTGATGATTATAGTGAAAATTCAGTGCGATATTGCCAGTATCTGTAAAGGCATGAGATTTTGCTTCATCTTTAATCCTCACAAAAATGAACAAAGGAAACTTAGCAGGAAAGCGATACTCAGTGATTTGAGACCACAAGCTAGGTAACGGTATAGCTGGGGTTGGTCTGGTTTGGATTGCCCAGTGCTCCTTCAGTCTCTGTAAGTCGTAAGAATGTGCTTTGGTGTTAATTGTGGGCAAAGTTGTGGCATCTTGAAGCCCATGCTATATCATTTCCCTCATTTATTTAACAAACTTATTGAGGACCTTGAGCCCTGTACCAAGGTCCCAGGACACAGAACATTCATTCGTTGAAAAAATCATTTATTTAGTGAACACTACTTTCCAGATACTGTATAGGGTTTTGAGGATATAACAGGGGAAACACAGCAAAGATGTTCTCTCCTTTCATGGAGTGTGCAGCTGATCGAGGGAGATGGTCAATAACCAAGAAAATAATAATTAATAATTATATATTGATAATAATTATCAAGTACTTAAAAAGGAACATTCTATCACAAGGAATGGGAGAACCTGCTCTAGATAAAACCACCACAGAAGACATCTCTGAGGAGAAACAATTAACAGAAAAATTGAAGACTGAGAGAAGTCTGTGCCACCACTGGGGAAGAGCATCCCTGGGAGGGGAAGCAAGTGCAAAGGTCACAATGGAGGAGGAATGGGCTTGGCATGTCTGAGAAAACTCAAGGCCGTGGTATGAGAGAATAGACCTATATTTCAAGCAAATTATCTTAGCTTAATTTCTTTCCCTGTACAATGAGATTACATCTCTAATCCACCATGGTTATTAACTGAGTTAACATTTGCAAGAAGAGTTCGTATAGAACATATCATTAAATATAACTGGAATAAGTTGCCAAGGAGGGAGGAAGGCCATGAGGGAAAGAAAGGAGGGAAGGTAGGAGGACAGAGAAGAGACGAGACCTGTGTGGCTGAGTGCCACTGAGCAAGAGAAAAGGGGCCTTGGAGGAGGTAGGAGGTTGGCCACGGCCTTGCGGCCACTGTAAGTACTTTACATTTTGTTCTCAGTGAAGTGGGAAACAGCTGAAGTCTTCAGAAAGGCCTCTTGAAACCTTGCATGAGCAAGAGTAGCTTTTAAAAGTCACTCTGGGGGCCAGCAGGTGATATAGTGATTAAGGCACTGGACTTGACCACGGTTCGAGTCCTGGACCTGGCAGCTTGTTTGTTCACTCTCCCTCTCTGTCTCTTTCTGGCCAAATTGAAGAATAAGAATAAGCAAATAAAATTAAATAAATATTTTTGAAAAAAAAAAAGAGAGAAAAGAAAGAAGATCACGCCAGGCACATGTGTGTGCGTGCATGCCCAAAATCCCAGGAAGAGGATGGAGGAGAAAGGATTGTGGCGTGGCCGTCCCCTCTGAGAGATGACTTCTCACTTTCCTTCTCTCTTTTTCTGGCAAGTGCACATGTCTTGTGGCAAAAACCTTTTAAAAAAAAAAAAGAAAGAAAGAAGAAAGTCACTCTGGCTACTAAATGCAGAACAATTTGAAGCAGGAGTATCAGTAATGGGGATTTGTCACTTGTAATCAACTCTGGCATGTTTCTTGATTCTATTTTTGTTTTCTTTGAAGTACCTTGTTTCCTGATTTTTCATAGCTTTTATAGCTGTCTGTGCTTAGAATACCCCAAAAAACGAATACAATCACTCTTGCCTTTAAAAACTTAGTGTAGTTTTTTAGTGCAGTTGCTGAAAAAGGAAATAGGAGATAAAATGAAATAAATGTTTAATTTTGTTGTAAAGTAGCTTTACTCCCTGTGACTCCTAGGAATGAGAAATTTTAAGAAGCACATGCTGTAGTATTGGACTTTTAAATCAGGTGTTAGCAGTCTGTGGGGCACTTCCATGAGCTAAATGTGTTGAGTGCCCTGAGTATGTCACCTACTGTGCTAATAGTGTACAGAGAGGCTAAAACATTGATCCCACCTCAGAGACATGATAGCCCAGTGAGGGCATCGAGTTTGCAATCAAGCCAATCGGGAAATATTTATAGTGGGCCAGCACGTGGCATAGTGGTTAAGGTGCTGGATCCCACATCCGACTCCACAGTTCGAGTCCTGGACCTGGCAGCTTGAGAAACATGCTTGGGTGCATGTGCATGCATGCCCAAAATCCCAAGGAGAAGGGATTGTGCCATGGCCATGACTCCTGGGGGATGGGGGTGATTTTTCACTCTCTCTCTCTCTCTGGCTAGCACATGCATCCTATGCCAAAAATCTAAATAAATAAGCAAAAGATTATTGAATTCACTTTCTATGTTAGCTACATGGAAGTTTTTACTAGGTATGGGGGACTTGAAGAAGTGGGAATCAGTTCTGTCAGATGGGTTCAGGAAAACTTTTCTAGAGAGGATGCTGTCTGAGCTGTCTTGAAAGATCAGACAGTGTTCCCTGTTGAAAGAATAGTGTGAGGACATTTTAGGTTTGGTGAGTAGAAATATGGAAACATGGTGGGTCCCTCAAGTGTGATGTGACACTTACTACTTTAATTCTCACAGTATTGGTGAGAATTAATTCTTTCTGCAAAGAAAAGGATTACTGTCAATTTTTTTTAAAGACGAGAACACTGAGGCAGAGAGATGGGTTAATTTTGCCAGGGGCTCACACTAGCCGGTAGTAAAGCTAATGTTATCCCTGGGCTGCCTGACTCGAAGGTTCATATTCTGGTCATGATGCAATTTACCTCCCTGCTGTGAATACTAACCTCCTCTAAACCTCGACAGCTTTTTAGTGTCCTATAGCCGCTGCATTCTGGGCGACAGTCTAGTGCAGGAACTCCAAACTGGTTATTCTGTGATATTCATGAAACTGTGCCGGAGCAGACTTTCACTAATGGGTTGATACTGCTTGGGAAACTCCACCATAGCTGGCCCAACAGTATTGGGCTTTTCTGAATGGGTAAGTTACTGTTAGAAGTTGCCAAAGAGACCTGGATGCAAAGGGAGAAAACTGTCCAGTGAAGGGTATTCATCTGAGTTCCATCGACTGAGACATTTAGCTTTAAAAAAAAAAAAGAAATGTTTGTGCGTGTGTGCTTTTAAGTAATCCATAACACGAGAGCCTTTTGTGGTAATGAGACCCAGATTTCCTTCTGTGTCTGTATCCCTTTATGCAGGCATGATTTCTTGGAAAGGAGAGTCCATATGTCAAACAGTGTCTCATTGAGAACATGGAATGAGTCCATAGATGCTGTGGCAGTGATTAGAGTCTTAAATATTTTGTCCTGTCTGGATCAGTGGGTGCTTGGTTCCCTAACAAACCAGCTGCCTCAGTGATTGGGAAGGCAGGATGGTAAGAGCTTTTAGATCACTTCTTGTACTTGGATGCATTTAAATAAATCAAAGGAACATTTGAATGGATTTATAATGTTGTCATGGCCATTGCGTGTTTGTGGAATTTATTGTTATTAAAAGTATGCAAAACTGCAACCTTGAGTGACTACCTACATTTAAAAACAAATCAGAAATAGTTATGATGAGGAGACGGTGGGTATTTGTTTTCAAGCCCCTTTAAAACGTTGTTTGAATTAGGATCTTTTTCACATACCTGAGTCTTACAGTTCATTTCTGTTCTTCCCTGGACCCTCAATCCCCCTCTAACTTCTCACCAGCAAAACTATCATCTGTGACCTTTCTAACCCCCAGAGAAGCATAAAGAATATAAACCTCTGCTCTGCATTAGGTGTTGGGGACGTCATTAATGCTTACTGGAAAAGCACACCCCAGAGAGCCGGGTTTTGGCTTTGGCAGGTAAAAAGTCTTTCAGATCTTGGAATGCTGGAAACCTTAAACCTTTTGGTTTTTCAGCTAAAGTGATTGGCAACAGAATGTGACATCTGAGGTTGCATGGCCTGCAATAGCCATAATTAACCACATGAGCTCACATTTTCCCACTGGAGCTTCAGTGGTCTTGGGGTGATGAAAGTGACTTCCCTACCAGGAGGTGGTTTTCCTTTTGAGGGTATTGGAATACCCTTGGGCCCTGTAATCCTTCACCCGTGGTCCTTTTAAAATGCTTTTTAATATAAAGCTTCAATATTGGAAATCTAACACCATAGTGTTTAACAGTGAGGCTGGGACAGAGAACTGTGGCCTGGAACGGGAAACAACCTAGGGTTTTTAATAGGTGGAGCGGGGAGTCTTGTGGTGGCCACAGTGGTGAGTGTGAGTAACCTGAATTAGAGCTGATTTCCAATATTATTCAGTTTGCGGTGTTTGTTATTTCTTTCTGGCTTTGATTTCTGTGTGTAGGCTTCTCTTAGAGGTGCCTTCTTATCTTTAAATCTAAGCAAAATGGTTTTGTTCGGGAGGGGAGGGAATGTTAGAAGGTTGATTTTTGTTGTTGTTGTTCTTTTAATAGAGATGTGATGTAGTCTCCAACTATGCAAATGTAATTTTATTCCTTAGCATGATGTGCTTTTAGTAAGAGGGGGAGAATGTAAATGTTTTAATGTTTAGTATTGCATAGATTTTATTAAACATTCATAGTTTGTATTTGGCCTATTTTGAAGGCTATGAGGCCTTCTGCTTTCTGGAAATTTACACATTTTTTTCTGTCAGGTCATACAAGAAAACTTAAGAAAGCTTGTGGAAATGGAATTAAAGTACAAGTATTTTGGTGAAAAGAATGTGAAATCCATGTGTAGTTTTTTCGTAATTATCATTGAAGACCCCTCATTATAAAGTTCCCTTTACACTGATCTTTCCTGCAGGGAAATCCCAACTTAGGATAGTATTGTCCTTCTTTGCTCTGCATCTTCTTCTTCCTCTTCCTCCTCTCTTCAAAAGAGTCTTTTTACCAATGGCGGTATCAAGTTGGGTAAGCTCTGTTCTTTACAGAGAGCAGGAGGCAGGATTTGGCTGTGAAGGAATTCACAGTCCCAGTTGTGACTCCAGACAGATATTTTGAGAGTCAGGGTGTGACCACACGTTTCCCACTTACCTATCACTCACTGTTTTTTACTCGTGTGGGTTTGATGAAGCCACTTATAGCTCCCAGAGCTCACTTTTCTCATCTGTGAGTTGATAGTGTCAGATGCTGTGATTTTAAGGTTTCTCCTAGCTCGACTACTCTGTAATGATGAATTTACTCTGTCGTGAGTCTATACTGTAAAGCTCTTTTAGTTCCTAAGCTAGTAAAATGTACGGGTTTCAACAGGAGTAAACTGTTAGAGTAGTAGTCAAGGTATTGGGTGGGAAGGGGCAAGAGAATACGGTCTCTAAAAATAATTAAGATTCTAGTTACCTAGGGCATGAGTCAGTAGTCTGTTGAAATGAATGCTGTTTGCTTTTTTTTTCCCATGAGTTTGTTTTGGGGGAATGGCAAACATTGGTTGAGAAGCCCAATTTCTGTCAAGCACTATACAAGTCAGCGAGGACTCACAAACTTTTTATGTGTTTTTTGCCCTTACTAGAAAAGTGAGAAGAAAGTTTCTATGCTTGCTACACTTCAGGCTCCTAAGTTTAACAGTTGTTACATATTAATTCGTTTAAGTTCTGAGACAGTGTGGTAAAGTGGTTAGGGATGGAGCGTTTGGTGTCAGGGCAACCTATTTATTACCTCTGTTACTTTGGATGGGTTCTGTAATCTCTTTAAGCCTTAATTTCTTTATCTTAAAATGAATGAAAAGGTATTAAGAAGACGGGTTTAGTAATTGTTAGTGAATAAATGATTGTCAGTTTTAAATACTACAGACAATTCCAGGCAGAAGAAAAATCTATCAAAGTGAAAGTAACCTATTTGTACAGGATGATCAAAGCCAACAGTCAGGGTAGTCGAGGGTAGAAAATTCACTAAGGAATGGATGACTGTAGTGGCATTCTTACCATAAAAAGGTAGAGGTAGATAATTAAGTATAAATATAAAAGAAGAATGTCAAAAATACTATTAATAATTGAGATTAAAGTCACCCATAGAAGGCAGGAAATAGTTAAACCATGGTCATTTCAGTCATTTCAGCCCTTCTTCTCTAGCCAACTGGGGTATTCTGGATTATGTGTTGAGTCTTTCATTGTGTGTATATATACACACATGCACATATATACTTTTTAAAATATCTTAAGAATACAATATACCAAGTAATTACTTTTCCTTTTCTCCTGGAAGAAGTTTCAGATGTTTCCTTTCATTACTCTCAGTTCTGAGTTCCTGAATCACCATTATCACTTAATAGGTAGTCACAAAAGTGTGGATGATAAGTTTAAAAATGTAATTATTGGTGGTTTTTTAAAAGCTAGATACTTCCATGTCACTGTGAGATACATGCATATTTTTTCCCCAATAATTGCTTCTACCTACATAAATAAGATGGTGTCTGAGCACTGTGGTTTGACCTTTTGCTTTTACTCTTTAAAACATTTCCCCTCTTATCCCCTCTTAGACGTAGCAGGCCTGTGTATATAACACCGTCTTTATCAATATCAAGAACATACCCTATAAGAGTGTATTATGCTGATTCACTGTACTTCAGAATTAATAATGTTGTTAAATAGTAGATTGGTACAACGGTATTGCCTAGAAAGTTGTTAATGAATAAAATGTTTCATGATTATATAGTTTTTTTGGTGATATATTTAAACCTCTGAAACAAATTTTCACATCATATATAGACTCAGGTATTATAATCCCTCCTCTTAAAAACTGCTGGGAAAGGAAGAAGTGGCTATTTGGGTACACTCAGAACTCTTGCTTAAGGTACAGGCCAAATGCTAATCATATGACAGTAATTGCTGAGAGAGAGTTTTCAATATAGCTAGTAGATTAAATTTTAGGTCTTATTAATGTGTTTAGACATATAGAAGTTATGTAATTTAGAGAACTGGTTACTGTTTTATTCACCATTTATTTTTATACGGTCTCCTTTGAAACTGATTTGTTATTCTCTCAATAGCTACATTTATAAAGTAAATAGTTGTTTTCTTTTCCTCTGCTTTTGAATTTACAGCAAAAGATGATGGAAGCATTGCTGTTGCACTGGGTTACACTGCACATTTGGTCTCCATGATTTCCTTTTTTCTGCAAGTGCCCCTCAGATATCCTATCATTCATAAGGGGTCTAGATCAACAATCAAAGATAATATCAATGACAAGCTGACTGAAAAGGAGAGAGAGTAAGTGTCTTTTTTTTTTTTTAATGCTTTTAACATCAAGCAAGTATGAAACATGGGGTGTATTGAGAACATAAATGTGACCTAAATTGTGGCAACTTTATAATGTTTGTAAAGTGCGCCAATTCTTTTAAATATGAGGGGCTCTTTAAAAAGTTTATGGAAAATGAGGGACCAGCAGATGGCATAATGGTTACATCACTGGACTCCCATGTGGTCAACCAGGGTTCAAGCCCCAGACCCAGTGACCTAAAAACTCACATTGGGCACATGTCCTTGTGTGTCTAAGAATGGAGAAGAAGAGATTGTGGTGTGACCATCTCCGCTCCTGGGGTGATTTCTCGCTTTCTATCTGTCTTTCTGGCAAGTATGCATGCCCTGTAGTAAAAAATGTCTCTAAAAAAAGAAAGAAAGCAGAAGAAAATCCTGACAGGCACTTGTGCCCATGCCCAAAGTCCTAGGAGGAGAGGGGATTGTGGTGTGACCTTTCCCCATGAGGGGTATTTTCTCACTTCTCCCTTTCCCTGTCTCTGGTGAGGGTACATGCCCTAAGGTAAAAACTTAAAAAAAAAAAAAAAAAAACCAGATT